TTCCTTCCCTCCCTCCTCCCTCCCTCCCTCTTTCCTTCCCTCCCTCCCTCCTTCCCTCCCTCCCTCCTTCCCTTTCCTTCCACTCCCCTTCCCTCCCTCCCTCCTTCCTTCCTCTCCCTCCCTCTTCCTTCCCTCCTTCCCTCCTTCCTTCCTTCCCTCCCTCCTTCCCTTCCCCTTCCTTCCCTCCCTCCCTCCTTCCTTCCCTCCTTCCTTCCTTGGTGGAAGGAAGAGTTGTGGAGGTGCAGGGGTTAGTATGCAGTATTGCAAGCTAATTCTGCCAACTGCCAGCAGTTCAGTCCTGCTTGGCTCATGGTTGACTCAGCCTTCCATCCTTCCGAGGTCAGAAAAATGAGGACCCAGATTTTTGGGGTGACTGTAAACCGCTTAGAGAGGCCTGTAAAGCACTGTAAAGCAGTATGTAAGTCTATGTGCTATTGCTATTACTTCCTTCCTCCTTTCTTCCTTCCTGCCTTCCTCCTTTCTTCCCCCTTCCCTTCTCCTCCCTCTCCTTCTTCTCCTCCTTCTCTTCCCTTCCCTTCCTTTTCTTTCCTTGCCTCCTGTTTTAAATGTAGGCAGGGTTTTGCACAAACTATTCAGACAGATTAGTTATAAACCTTGCTCTTCATCTGCAAAAGTGATGCTTTAAAAAAGGTTTCACTAAGTGGTTTGCGCTAATAAAAATGTGCTCTTTTGCGGAACTGTTATCTGCTGCTGCAAAATAAAGTAAGATTCCGGTTCCTTAGTGGAGTCAGAATAAATGGCAAATTTTAAAAAGCATCTAAGAAGCTACCTTATACCAAATCAGCCAACTAATCTATCTACGTTCTGTTGTCTTCTGGGCTTGATTGGGGGGAAATGCTTCAGATTTCAGACAATCGGGGGCTGAAATACTAGTTGTTCATCAATGCAAGATATATTTTTCTGTCTCTCAATTCCCAAACCCCCAAAACACCATTCTTAACACACTACCATGACCCCAAATAATTCATCAATACCCAGGGGGTCTGTTTTCCATTGTTCTGTGTATTAAATATTAAACACTAGGGGGCGATCCTGGCTTCCGCAAGGAAGAAATAATTGGAGGCAAAATGTGTGATATAATTCAGTTCCAGCAGGGTGGAAGTGGCTGATGGCTTCACAGATCAGGACACGCCAGAGAGATGGCCAAACATCTGGATGGTGTGGCAGTGGCACGACATTTGGTTGTTTTGAAACAGCTTCTGAAATGCTCCCCCTCAACATTTCTCTCTGGACCTCCCAATCCTTTTGGATCACTCGGCATGAACCAAACCGCTGGCCATAAAATGCTGGAAATAAAACTTATGTAACTTTGCGGGGAAAATAACGCTTAAAGAATAATGCAGAATATTGTGCTCCGATGGTTTGGGGGGGGGGGGTGTTAGACACAAGCAACTTGGTGAGGAAAGAGTTTGAATCGGTGGGACTACATGGAACAGGGGTGTCAAACTCAGGGGTGGGTTCCGGCCACCATTACTACCGGTTCGGCGCCCGAAAATTTTCGCCACCTTAAAAAAGGAATGAAAATTACATCTTTTCAATGAAGATTGTTCTGCGCATGTGCAGAACAGAAAATTAAGATGGCGCCGCCGAGGATAGAACCAGTTCGATCACGTATCTACCAGAGTTACTACCTATTCGGCCGAACCGGACTGAATAGGTAGGAATCCACCTCTGGTCAAACTGGATTTCTCCGAGGGCTGGATCAGCATTGTAGTTCTCCTCCACTGGCCGGCGGGGGACGGGAAGAGGAGGACGGGGGAGACGGGACGGACGCCTCCTGCAGCAACTTGCCAGTCAAAACGGGGCACATGGAGATGCTGCGAGGCCCCCACGTATCCCGTTTTTGGCCTGAATGGCCTCCCACAGCACTCTGCAGCCAAAATAGCAGTAGACTTATATACCGCTTCATAGGCCTTTCAGGCCTCTCTAAGCGGTTTACAGAGAGTCAGCATATTGCCCCCAACAATCTGGGTCCTCATTTTACCCACCTCGGAAGGATGGAAGGCTGAGTCAACCCTG